ATGAAAGCGCGCCCCACTGAGATGCATGATCTCAGATATCATGCGTCCACTACACACTTTTGATAAAAAGTATATAGTGGAATTACCCTCCAGAGAAGACTGGCTGAATGATCAGGTTATCTGTAAGGTCGGTAGCCTCATATGGCATACCGATGGGGTCGAAAATGGGCCTCGACGTAGGCATTGGAATTTACGGGGAACGCCCCAAATTCAAACTTAGTATGAATTTGGGTAGATACACCTCTATCTTCCAGGCAGAAATTTTCGCCATACTTCGGAGTGCGGAAATCAATCTGCAAAAACACTACGTCAACCATAAAATTTACATAAACTCTGATAGTCAAGCACTGCTGGCGCTGAGATCAAACTTAGTGCACTCAAAGCTAGTTGGAGACCGCGTGAACTGTTTAAACGCCCTGGGTTGTAACAACAGGGTCGTTTTAAGATGGGTTCCGGGTCACGAGGTATTGTAGGCAACGAATTTGCCGACAAACTTGCACGGGAGGGCTCAAAGTGCACACAATTTGGACCCGAGCCATTTTCTGGAATCTCAAGAAGCCTAGCCCGATGACCCTTGAAACTCTTTATCACAATAAATCACTTAAGATCTGGTCTGACACACCAGGCTTAAAACATTCTAAAACCTTAATCCGGGCCTTTGATCGTAAATTCGCTTAAGAAGCCCTGGGATTAGGTAAAAATAAATTGCGCATTCTGGCAAGAGCCCTAACTGGACACTGTTGTCTTAAAAAGCACATGTCCATCCTGGGACTAAGCAACTCAAGGATGTGTCGGTTATGTTCCATAACGGAAGAAACGCCTCTACACATCCTAACCGATTGCGAACCCTTAATGCGCAAACGAACCACTCATCTGGGACACTATCTTCTCCGCCCAGAAGAAGTGAAATTGCTCACGGCTAAGCAACTCCTTCGATTCATTGAAGACATAGGGCTTAGCAGTGAACTATAGCCATAGCCCTACTTTCAGTGGCAGTGATACTGGTCTCTTTACCTAGACATGCATAGCTGCTCGCTTATAATTAAAAAAATGGCTCAAGGTGTTATCAGGATTCCGAATTACTAACACATCTAGAAAAGCTAAGGAATTGTTTGCCTCTAACTCCATTGTGAACTGAATTTTAGAATTTATAGAGTTAAGATGGTCTAAAAATGCAATTACTTTTTCTAAAGGTAGAATTGTGAAAGCGTCGTCTACATACCGCTTGTAGAATCTTGGATTTATGGGAGAAGTAAGCAGGGCTTTCTCCTCAAAGTCTTCCAAGAATATGTCGACGACAATGGGAGATACAGGTGAGCCCATCGCCACACCATCTACTTGCTTGTAGAACTCCTCCCACAATAGATAGCCAGATGTAAGGCAGTGTCTGAGTAATACTGCATATTATAGAATATGCAGTATTACTCAGACACTGCATGCATGTTGTTTTCTTCCAGCCTTCTAGTTACAATTGAGATGCAGTCTTCAACAGGTAAGTACGTAAACAATTACTGCACATCAAAACTGACCATAGTTTCATTGTCTGCCAGATGTAGGTCTTTAATTTCGCTGACAAAATGGTAGAAATCGTTTATGTGTACTCGTGTATGTCCCCTGAGCGGTGAGAGTATTTTCGCTAAGTGTTGAGCCAATCTGTAAGTTGGTGAATCGATTTGGCTCACTATGGGACGTAATGGAGCATTGGGCTTGTGTATTTTTGGTAACCCATACAATTTTGGTGATTTGGCGCACGTAATGTCCCTCTGCAAGATGCAGGAGGTACATGCTTGATTGTGAATGTGATCTCTCCCACATAGGACAAACTAAAAGATCAATTAAAACCTGCGTTAAAGAACATATAGCTGATGTGAAGAATCGACGCTCCGGGAAGTCTGCAATCTGTGAACACATACAGGATCGCCCCCGTCACTACATCAGATTTGATAGACCACAATTCCTCCGATTCCTTCCAAGGATGATTTGCAAGGCTATTGAAATCAAAAAACATCCTAATTTCAATAGAGAAGATGGCTGGGTGCTACCATCTGCTTGGGATCCTATAATAAATCAAATTAAATCCCAACCCAAGCATACAACTGCAAGACTTCAAGATACCATAAGTTCATACTGTGTAGATCGGAACAAAATTAATAAAAAATAATTATTGTTTCTCACATAACTTTTACAAACAAATCATATTGAACTCTTACCGTGGTATACGTAGCTACATCTTCCCCGTTCATACATATATTTATTGACAAACTATATAGCAAACAAAAATTAATCAGAATGACATCAAAAATAACATATAGCTTAACAAAGTATAAAGAGAGAGAGAGAAAAAAAAACAATAATAATAAGGTAAATAAAAAGTGTGTGTGTTACATTTTAATCTGTGGTAACCGCGATTAACTATGACATTTGGACGTTGAACATCTGAGTCCCGCCCGTGATCATGAGTGCTGTAAAGCGTTCGAAATGTCGGGTATTTAAAAAGTTAAATATACGCGATAAATTCCGTAAAACTAGTATTATTTCAATGTGTAGTGTTCGCGTAAATATAAGAAATCGTAAAAGCTTTGCACCAGCCACTTCCAAGTCTGGCTTAAATTCAAGATCATTCGGAACGCTCACGAAACCGAATGAAAATAGAAAAAGTATTCAACCTCCAAAAGCTACATAAAGTGCCCCAAAAGTTCAAAATCCTCAAATAATTTCAGTGTTCAAAAGGTTACATAAACCCAAAATAACCAATAAAGTAACAGTAAATGAAGTGCAGGAACTGCATACAAATCCTAGCTCTTTAAAAAAATTATTAAGGATTCACATTTAATAATGAAACAAAAACGTTCTGATGCACACATAAAACCTTTACAACACAGGAAAACAAGATTAAAACTACTTTTACGGATTTTATCGCGTTTATTTTTACTTTTAATTTACTTTTATTTTTAATTTCCCGACGTTTCGGGCGCTTTCCAGCATCCGCAGCAGCAGCAGCCCGAAACGTCGGGAATTAAAAAAATAAAAGTAAATAAAAAGTAAAAATAAACGCGATAAAATCCGTAAAAGTAGTTTTAATCTTGTTTTCCTGTGTTGTAAAGGTTTTGTGTGTGCATCAGAATGTTTTTGTTTCATTATTAAATGTGTGAAGGGGAGCTCCTTCTCCTTCCATGAGCCTTTTCGTAGACACAAGCGCCTCCCTCAGCTGGCTAGGTTTCGGTGACCTCTTGGGGGAAACCGAGAGTTTTATCTGTGCGATACAAGATCAGGTGATTAAGACCAACAACTGTCGGAGATACATCCTAAAGGATGGCACCGTCGACATCTGTCGAGCTTGTCGCCATCCCACTGAGTCACTTAGGCATGTCATCTCCGGTTGTTCGGTGCTTTCTAACTCTAAGTACTTGCACAGGCACAACCTAGTAGCCAGAATTCTACACCAGGAGCTCGCTCCGAAATACGGTCTCGTGGACTGGAAATTGCCGTATTACAAGTATTTGCTGGAAGCCGTGCTCGAAAATGACCGCGCCAGGCTCTACTGGGTCCAGGCCATCTTCACAGACAGGACTATTCTTGCGAATAATCCTGATATTGTGCTTATGGACCGGGCACAGTCAAGGACATTTTTGGACATTACCATTCCGTATGACGAAAACCTCGTGAAAGCCGAAACAGATAGCGAACAAAATATCTGGACCTGGCTCACAAGGTGACTGACATGTGGGGTGGGCTGTCGACCGAAATTATACCTATAGTCGTTCCTGCAAACGGGCTAATCCCAGTCAGCCTCTCAGGTCATTTGAGGCGACTGGGACTTCGTGACGGACTGCTCCGGGCTCAAATACAGAAGGCGGTGCTCCTCGATACCACGTCCGCCGGTTTCTTATTCTTTCCCCATAACCCTCCGTTTGGTCTCCACTGCCGAGGCCTTCCATCTGGTTCGGTATTTTATTTATTTATATATTTTTGATGTACGAGTATTTATTTTATTATATTGTTATTTATGTATATTTATCATTTTCAATTCACAATTATATATTTATGGAACCCAACCAGATGAGAAAACTATATAGATACCCAAAAATAATAATTAATAATTTATATTTGTAATAGTTTATAATATTTGTAATAATTAAAATTATAAAAAACATATTTTTATAATTTATTTATTAATAAATAATAATAATTTCGTTATTTTCTTTTTTTATTTGAATAATATTATAATCAATTCAAACTAGCCCACAACACCTCTTTTATTCAACAACCCACCTGGGACACTATTTTCTACAGCTATCTTTCTATTGTTCTCTAACCTCCATGACAGTGGCAAAGAGTGGCAATGACAAAAGAGTTTTGACGAGAACTTGGCCGACGACGGACTGTCGCTCCTGTTTTGTGGCTTGAATAATGGTTGAAGTGGATTTTAATTCGTAAAAGTGATGTGATTTTGCGAATTTAGTGTTTGCGCGTGTGAACTATTAGAGAAACGACGAAAAAAGTGCTTTGATGTTGATATAAACCTCAAGTTAATTGGATCGCTTGGGCGCCTTATGAATTTTAGCGGCTGTCGTCATCAACAGTTCGCAGGGTTGAGCTGTCGTCAAAATCTCCCAAAAACTTCGCAATGTGGCGCATCAACATATTGTGAAAAAAAATATATAAAATGAAGATTCTGTAAGAAATGATAGGCTCAGAAAGGCTAGTACCCAGAACCGTAAAGCCAATTAAATGAAAAAAATGGCAATGACAAGTTGACAAGTGACAAGTCACAACCTGACAACATGCTGACAACTGACATGATGGTGAAGATGGTATCGTGTAGCGTTAGCTGCCTGATAATTTAGTAAAATCTCGACTTTACACAAATAATAGAATTAATTTGTTTATCAGAATATAAATGAATATGTGCACTCCATATATAAATATTTAAAATCACATTCTTTCATGTGAGTGATTATTCGGGAGTAATTTACAGTAACAACATGGTTTCAACCAAGATGCAATCGTCATTAGATGACTTAGTACAGTATACGCAGCTTTTTAAACCTATAGCAACTGTTCTGCAAGGAACTGTTCTTCCTTTTCTCATAATTTATCCAATAATATTTTATTTTTGGATCTTTGTTTACGGTTTTGAGGAAAACTTTGAGGCTGGTTTCGTCACTGTCGCTGTAGTAGCAGTAATACAAATTCTTATTTGTCTATGTTGTTATTGGAGTGTTCATATACAATGTTTTCTTTCCTGCACAGCCGTAAGTAATTACTACATTTTTCTTAAATACATACACTCCTTTACTTATTTATTCATATGTGCTAGAGCCATGCTGCAGTTCTATTAGTAGTATAGTTGTAGCACGAATGGGTCGGCTCGACCGGGGAAGGACCACGCTCTCACAGAATACCAGCGTAAAATAGTAGCTTAATGCTGCTGGGTTTTGTATGGCGAGTGTAGAGAACCGGAGACCCTTTTTACTGTTAACGAGGCATTCCATCTTAGTTCTGACGGGTGATAACCCATCTGCATTTTGATTTATAATTGAGGATAGATGTAGATGTCTACGGGACGCCGCAGCAACCACTTACCATCAGGTAGACTGTGGGCTCGTTTTTCACCCCATCCTATAAAAAAAATATCTTAAACTAATTTTTAGCTTTGGTATGTTTCAAAAGATAATTTTTCTTTTCTTTAGGTTAAAGATCCAATACAAGCTGAAATAGTTAAAGTTGTACCAACATCCAATAATGGGTCGTCAGAAATAGTAAGACTACATCACACAAAGGTTTGTTGATCTTGATAAGAAATTGTATTTTTTAATTAATTTATGTTGATTAATAGATGTAAACTTATTTTATGGAGTATGTCTCTCATTATCTTTGAATATTTTTCAGTCTACAAAGAAGGGCAATCTCAATCCTGATGTTTGGTTTATTTTTCAAAAGAGTAAATATGTTTATGATTGGGACAAAAAGATATTCCACACTATAGATTTTCCAATTAACAAAACATATGAAGAGTATATAGAATCTAAGGGATACTTAGATGATGAATCCATTGATATTGCTGAAAAAGAATATGGTAAAAATGAAATGATAATGGTAAGTCTCTTTTTCTATAATATATTATTTTAGTATTAACTTTAATATTATTTCAAATGCAAGAATATTTAGTTGTTAAAAAGTTACGTTACATTTTTGGCTAAGTTTGAGCTTATCCACATGTGAATATTGGAGAATAGGAAACTTTGCAGTGTTTATTTCTTGTAATTAAAATTTATCATACAATATGAAGTATAACAGGACATCAGATAACCTCTTTGATTGATAACATCATCCCTCCAAAGCTTTTAAGTGATTTACTGTATGCTTGGTAATATGTAGATTGATAATAGCAGTACTAGATTTATGTATTATCCATGCGCAGAAGCTTTGCTGATGACTTTATGATGTCATGACGTCACATGTCAATTGTTAGTATAGTAAACAAATTTGAATCATAAAATTTATAGTAAGATAAGTGTAATTAACCTCTCAAACGCCAAGTTTCCAAATTCAACTGCTTCGATATTCCGTCAAAATTCAAGAGGTCAAATTTAACTCACCCATCCACAGCACTTTAACCCTTAAAGAAGTTTGGCATTATAGAATCAATATGAAAATTTCTATCCTCTAGTGCAATAAAAAACATTTAGTCTATGGATATGAATTTATATTCTACGTTCATTACATATGCCATTTTCGTTTGAATATTGTTGTGTTGATTTTTGGATTTTTCTAGTGTTTTACTATAGTGTTTTATTATAAAATTGATATAAAAGTTTTGTGTGAATATAATTAATCTTTTTACGTAAATAATTTTGAGTAATATATAGAAGTAATTGTGATTTTCATGCTCCCGACATCCGCTTGGTATTTTTTTTGTTATCAAAATACAATAAAATCTTTTTATAATGAAGTAAAACCTGACTTTTGTTTAAACCACAGGATAGAAAATTTTGTATAGATTTTATAATGCCAAACTTCTTCATAGAAAAGTAGTCTCTAAATATAAGTTTTAATAGTTTTAAGCGCTGTGGGTGAGTGCGGTCGCATGCGATTGCCAGGCGCATGCGAATGCATGGGAATTTTATGAGGATTGATGGGTTAAAAAGAAACGGAGTTGTTACATAAATTTAACATTATGTTTTATAATAAAATAACAAAATAAAGGAGGCGTCAGGGGTAGTCAATGTCAAAGTTTCTGCGCACGGCTAATATAACTGAACACCTATGTATGTTTATAGGGCCACCTTTATTAAGATTATAAATTGTGTATTATCCTCATTGACATAATCAATCAACTATAGTGTTGCTATAAAAGCTATTAAAGATTTCATACAATACTGCAATGTGTATGTACTATAATAATAATAATAAATAAATTATTTCAAGATATTTGTTAATAAATACCTTTTTAAAATAGTGTCCATTCACATTAATACATTGCTGCATCCGATGGAACCACTGAGAGAAGCACTTTGCCCACTCGTCCTGAGGGGTCTCTTCGACGGCATTTTGAAATGCAGCCACTGCTTCCTCGGCGTCCATGAAACGTTTTCGTTGAAGTTTTTGTTTTATTTTCGGAAATATATAAATAAAAATCGCAAGGTGCGAGGTTGGTGCTATAGAGCGGGTAACCAAGTAATTCCAAGTCGGACGTCGCCATGTAGTTGATTGTTTGCTTGGCAGTGTGCGACGAGGCGTTGTCGTCGTGAAGGGGGAACCTACTGCGAGGTTGTTTCTCGAACATTTTCCAAGACAAATGGCAAACAATTGTTAGTGTACCACACTACAGTTTTTTCCGGCCAAACAGCTATCTGTTCCGTCTCTAGTTATGTTATGTGTTAGTTATGTGGATATGCTAACTAGAGATGAAACGGATAGCTGTTTGGCCGAATACCGGCCATATTCGGCCAGTCTTATCGCCGGATAGCCGGATATTCTGCGAACATTGCCGTTTGGTGCATGGCAAGAAGCGAAAAGTAATGTCAGTGCAAACAGTTAGCGACCGATCCATATACAATCAGCCCGATCAGCTGAGATTTTGGAAAACGTAATAACCGATTAATTTATTAAGGTTGTTCGGATGTGATAAAATGTGGAATGATATTTAATGTATTACCTAATTATGTCAAATAGGTATGTTGTATGCTTTGATTATATACCTGTGTAGATAGAGTGTTGCACTACAATCGCAACAAAAACAACAGGTCCGATTTTGAGTACTTGTGTGCTAAGTACACACACAAGTATGCGTAACTACTATTGTTTAACAAGCGCGCTGCGTAACACCAGGGCGAGCTGAGTGATACCAGCTCTTGAATATTTCCCATTAGATTAAGTACTCATTTGACTTTAAATTTTTTTATATATACATGTTTTGATTTGCCTAGTTATAAAATAATATTGTTTCACATGACAATTGTACTTTTAATTAATTTTATTACATTGATATAAATTATTTATATATTGACTTGCTTACTTATAAAAATAATGATTTGGTATATTATGTTAAATAATTTTCACATGTCAGATATGGTAAACATGTGTATTATATACAACTATTTGTCATCTTTAATGTACCATGTTTATCGAATAAACAATATTTTTTTTTGGTATTTATATAGTTAGTTTTGGTATTTATGTAGTTTTAGTTATAGTTTTATAAATATATAAATGAATATGATACGGCCGTACCATACTTTTCTCGAAGCAATTCGGGCCATTTTCGACCCCCTATAACTTCGTAGTCAACGAAACTAGAAGCCTGAATTTTCAGTAACCGAGTAGGCATTGTACAAACATGGTATATTTCAAACTTTATTTAATTTCAAGCAGCAGTTTAAGAATTATAACTAGTCAAATTTTTTTAATTTAATTAAATAAAATCCAACCAGATGGGAGACCTCGCCAGGGGAGACCAAACGGCGGAGGCTTTGATTATATACTTGTTTTATGAGATGAAAATTAAACAAAATAGGTTTAATTAGTTAATTATTATGTAGATTAGTTTTATTTATTTTATTTAAAAATATAAAAATATTTGAAAGAACTAACAAAAATACTATTTAGTGCATAACATCATGGGTTTTGTTTATTTTGTGTAGGTATTATTAAAGTTATTATTTACTGATTAAATAACTAAAGTAATTTTTAAAATAATAATGTTCTGATCGAAAGATGATGTAATAATATTTGTATTTTGTCTCCCATAGTTTCGTCAAAACTCCCTAGTAATAAACTGACAACACCGGCTGATCAGACTAACCTACAAAGTAACGAATTAAGAAATCGTGTTTTCATAGATGAAAAGTGATCTTGGTATTATTATACGGTTTTCTCATATAATTGAGACACAATTTAACAGCCCAAATCGGCATAATCTGGGGGCACGGCAGTGCCCCCGCCAAGTCGAGGAAAAAAGCAACACGGCCGTACCATACTTTTCTCAAAGCAATTCGGGCCATTTTCGACCCCCTATAACTTCTTAGTCAACAAAACTAGAAGCCTGAATTGAACCGAGTAGGCATTGTACAAATATGGTATATTTCAAATTTTACTCAATTTGAACCAGCAGTTTAAGAATTGTAACTAGTCAAAGTTTCTTAATTTTGTCACTCACTGACTGACCGATCATCAAAACTCTAAGGCACTTCTAGCAGATATAGAAGCTTCAAATTTCGAATACAATTAGTGTTTAGTGTATAAATCAAGGAAAAACTAAAATTTTGTCAATTTCGGTCTAGTTTTTTTAGATACACCAACTGCATAAATAACTCTGTAATCGCATATAAATATATAGAATTACAAAGTTACATTTAAAGTGAATGAATCAGTGTACTAGTATATGTAAAACAGGTGTAGATGGGTACGTTGTTGGTATTCAAGAAGTAGAAGGTACCGGAAAGGTAAAAAAGTAGGACTATCTTATCTACAAAAAGAAATGAGATGACATCAATCTATATATTTAAAACATAAAACATTTTTAACATTGATATGGTCACTATAAAATGTTGTTAGGTTAGCTAAACAAAACCCTTAAGTAGGAACTGAATAAATTAACCGACTTGATATTAGAAAAACTGAGTTGCGAGACTTGGTTTTCTTTTACAAGTTATGTTTTTGACGGCATTAATTATTTTCCGTGAGCACATTATCCCTAAGTGTCTAGTAAGTAGTCTACCAATTTTAGTAGATTTTATTTGGACCGTTCTGTACGGACAATGTGGCATCTAGACAGGTATATAATCAAAGGTTGTATGTATTCATGATACATCCATACCAATTCTATTGTTACCTTGAAATTACTATGGGGGATCTGGCCACCCGACCTACCCATAAAATATACTTATATTGATTTATATATGGCCTACTAATTTGAAGTAAATTTTTCATTTAAAAAGTTGGGTGTACAGATCAAGTCTTTTCTATGCGCATGATTGCAGAGAAGTTTTTGGCAAAAAACGAAAAAGTTTTTTGTGCGTTCATGGACTTGGAAAAGGCTTATGACAGAGTGGACAGGGATGTGTTATGGCAAACGCTGAACTCATTTAGGTTGAGCGCTGGGTTGATACAGGCATTAAAGTCTCTGTATAGTGACTCGAGTGCTTGTGTTGGCAGTCATAAAGGTGTCAGACAGGTCTGTGTGGCTTGTCCTTGGCTGTTCAACCTATTCATGGACAGTTGCAGATGCGGGTTGAGAATGGGTGAGTTAACCGTCAAATGCCTTTTGTACGCCTATGATGAAGTCATACTTGCATCGTCGGCGGCCGAGTTGCAAAGGATGGTTACATTAATGAACAGGTCATTAAAAGAAAGGGGAATGAAAGTGAATTCAAGTAAGATGAAATTTATGATTTTTGAAAGAGAAGCAAGTAAAACGATATGTGAAATAAGAATAGAAATGGAGTTGATCGAGGAAGTAGATGAGTTTGTATATTTGGGGTGTGTATACAGCAGGGATGGGAGATATGATAAGGATATAGAACGACGAGTGAATGCAGGAAATAAAGTAAATGGGGCTCTACACTCTATTGTGAAAAGTCAGACTGTGTCAAAAAGGCATGTATGGCAATTCACAATGCTGTGTTAGTCCCTACTTTAACGTATAGTAGTGAAAGTTGGGTGTGGCAGAAGAAGCACGTGAGTAAAATAAATGCAGTAGAAATGCGGTCGCTAAGGAGTATGTTAGGGCTGATTCGGAGTGGCAGGGTGAGAAACTGTGTGATAAAAAGAGTAGTTTGCAAGATGATGCGGTGACCAGGATTAAGAAAGGAATGCTTCGGTGGTTTGGTCATGTAGAATGAATGAATGAATGAGGAAAGACTGACAAAGCAAATATATGTTGCAGAAGTGAATGGAAGAGTCGGAAAAGGACGTCCTAGGCGAAAGTTTGTCGACCAAATTGGCGATTTATTAAAAATGGGTGAAATTAAGAATACCCTTAATCGACGAGCATGTATGCGTAGGTATATGGATGTGGAGGAGGCGAGAGAGGTATGTCAGAATCGTGTTAAATGGAAGTCTGTAGTCTCTGCCTACCCCTCTGTGTGACAGGCGTGAGTGTTTATGTACGTATGTATGTAAAAATTAAAAACAAAATCTTTATCTAAATAAATAAATTAATTAAAAACTATCGAAATCCAAATTATACGCACCCTACTTTACGAGCGGCAGTAAAACAATAAATTTGTAATGCACTCGCCGCACCCGCCGTATGAAATGCTCGTCCTGCGAAAGGACAAAGACAAAGGTCTTTGTGCTGTCGCAGGGTCGCAGGCGTAAGTCCGCCCGGGCTCTCATTTCAATCACCTGTGATTAGCTAGGGCGTGACGTATTATGTTTCCGCGTGTATATCGTCCGCCCGCTGATAGTTATCGTAAATATGTACCGATACTCTAACGTCGAGTATTTAGCAATGGTGAGATTTTATGTCTTGTCTGGTGAAAACTTAGACGGTGCGACGAGTCGATATTTACCCGCGTTCGAATTTACAACGTGCACAATGAGCAAAGAACATGCTTATCAAGTTCGTTTCTGTGTTAACGTTTGGGCGGCAATCATTAACTACCACATCATTGGTCCAATATGGGTTGAAAGTCGATTGACGGGAGTATAAAATAAGTTTAATATGTAATAATTCTACTCAACTACATCATATTGGACGGTCCTAAGTCCGTAAAAGTGTAAAATAATAATCTAAAACGAATTGTTTTCCACTCCGGGTTTCGGCGGGAGGCTTAGAATAGAATGTCGGCACGAATGTATGTCGCAGCCAAATAAGAAATAAGGCGTATTAATAAACGCCTAATCGTAATGCACAACATGTAGTGTATCAGTTTTTTTGCGTTCTACAATGCGGATGATAATGCTGAAGTTTAAGTGCCATGCTAATGTAGCGGGTTGTCTTTACCGCATTGTGGCTAGAAATTTAGTCGTAAAGAAAGTGGACCTAACTAGTCGTTCTGTAATCATGCTAGACATTGCCTGCCGTTTTAGTCAATCTATCGTAACGTCATTCCGGCTGAATCTAAGTAATCTGCATTCGTAAATGGCGCCGTATTAAAAAACACTTAGCTGCAAGCATTGTAAAGGCAAGTATTGCTGTTCGGTCTTTCTGAATGTGGCTGATTCGAAATGTTAGTACTACGACAAAATGACCATGAATGTCTAACGAAAGAAATCTGCATGTGTCTCGCTCGTGCTTACAGTTTTCATTCACTACGCCGTTTAAAATAATATCATCTTATTATGTACTTTGGAGGATAGCTTCTACTCCACTCACACAAAACACCACATTGTTTTCCAGAGGGTAAAAAAGTCACCCAGTGTATATATATATACATTTATCTTTTATATACATTCATGTCAGTTGTAATTATAAGAGAAGTATAATTATAGTCATAGCAAGAGTCAAGTCTCCTTTTCATTTAACACCTTCCAGCATTACAATAATGTAAAGACCTAAAAAATCAAAGAAAATGAAAATACACACACCCAAAGCTTTTTACAACTTGTCGAAGCACTAGCTTCTGCCTGAGCTGAAATAATTGCCTGGTGAAAGGGCTCATCAGATTATTATCTGGTTCAGATTATCATCAGATTATTATCTGATGTTACGAAGACTACATTTCCACGTTACATGTAGTCTTCTTAACCTACTAAAAGTGACCGTTTACTTAAAAAAAAGTAGACATGAATTATAAGCTCAAACATATGCCAACTGTACACGCTGTGGAGGGAACCTTCCTCCTCGCTTACCTTGAGACGTCCCACTTGCGGGAATTTTCATTTATGTATACACATAATAATATTCTGTAATAAATATATAAGTAGCTCTCCTTTACACTGCATTATTATTTCGGTCGTTAACAAATTAAAATAATATTTTTTCCGTTTAAAAATCAAATAAAAGAACCATATTTCACGTCGATGTCTACTACATCATGCCGACGCCGCCGATGGGCGCCTTATAGACCAGGGTCAAAGCCGTCAAAAATAATTAAAAAGCGAAAAAAATTAAAGTAGGATGAAACCTATTGGAAAAGGAAGGGAATACCACTAAAATGATAGGAAAAATAAATTACGGGCGATCTGAGGTTGGGAAGTGGTAGGGGGGAGTTTTTAAGGTTAAAAATCGGTAAATCTCGATTTCCGGCAAAACTACAAGTCCTATAGGAAAAAGTTCAATGGCAAAGTTGTAGATAATAAAAAGATCTACAACTTTTGTATATATAGTTTTTCTCCATAACCTCAAAATTCATGTGAAAAATCCAAAAAACCACATTTTTGGTTTTTTATTTTTCTTTTACAAAAAAAATTGTTTTTTCATATTTGGTGAAAACTTACCTCTTTATGTCCCAAACACACTGGAATTTTGAAGATTTAAAATATTAATTTTTTCACCCTATTTTGACTCGATATCGAAAAAGCACCCTAATTTTCAATCGAAAATTCTCATGTTAAAATATCTGATTTTTCAAAAAAGTCGGTGGGCTTTTTGTTCGTTGGTGTCTCTATTTTCTGATGGTGTAAAAAATATACATTACTATTGAAAAATTTTTCAGAAAATGCAAAAAAAAACAAAAAATACTAAAATTCGATTTTTTTTTTAAATCTTTATGTACAATTTTGAGGTATTCATTAAAATTTTTACTTTAATTACTCGAAAAACGTTAGGTTCTTTTTTAGGTTATGGAGAAAAATTATAGATACAAAAGTTGTAGATCTTTTTATTATCTACAACTTTGCCATTGAACTTTTTTCGATAGGATTTGTAGTTTTGCCGGAAATCGAGATTTACCGATTTTTACCCTTAAAAACTCCCTCCCTACCCCTTCCCAACCTTAGATCGCCCGTAATTTATTTTTCCTATCATTTTAGTGGTATTCCCTTCCTTTTCCAATAGGTTTCATCCTACTTTATTTTTTTTTTTCGTTTCTAAAATTATCGACCCTGGTCTATTAGTATGCTTATAGCGAGATGGCTCAGACGCCGTTGTCGGCCGCCTTCAAAGTTCAAATGTATTATGGCATGGGGGTAATGTGTTTCTATTCACAGGAGGCAATGATTGGGTTAATCCACTTCTGTGATACCAGAATTCTCTATATTCATTGAAGTGGGCTCTTTATTATAACATTTTTTTTCTATATTTCAGGTGGTGCCAGAGTTCATGGAATTGTTCAAAGAAAGAGCAACAGCACCATTTTTTGTTTTTCAAGTTTTCTGTGTAGCTCTGTGGTGTTTAGATAAATATTGGTATTATTCCATATTTACACTTGTGATGTTAGTCATGTTTGAATGCACTTTAGTCCAACAACAATTGCGAAATATGGCAGAAATTCGGAAAATGGGAAATAAGCCTTACAATATCAATGTATATAGGAATAGGAGATGGCGCCAAATAATGAGTGACCAGTTGTTACCAGGAGATATTGTTTCACTCACTAGATCTCACAGTGACAACTTAGTTCCTTGTGATATATTGCTCTTAAGAGGTTCTTGTATAGTTGATGAATCTATGTTAACTGGAGAAAGTGTACCCCAAATGAAAGAAGCACTTGAAAATGAAAAGAATTTGAAAGTAAACTTAGATCCTGAAGGTGATGGAAAGTTGCATATGCTTTTTGGAGGTACTAAAATTGTACAGCATTCATCGCCAAGTAAGAATATAACATCAGGCCTCAAGGCTCCTGACAATGGCTGCATTGGCTACGTTATTCGGAATGGCTTTAATACATCTCAGGGAAAACTTTTAAGGACTATTTTGTTTGGAGTCAAGAGAGTAACCGCTAATAACCTTGAGACATTTGGGTTCATTTTGTTTTTGTTGATTTTCGCCATAGCCGCTGCAGTTTATGTTTGGGTGAAAGGTTGTGAAGATCCCGAAAGAAATAGATACAAACTATTTTTGGAATGTACACTGATTTTAACATCTGTGGTACCACCTGAACTACCAATTGAATTGTCTCTAGCTGTAAATACTTCACTACTTTCTCTATCAAAATTAGCAGTATTTTGTACAGAACCATTTAGAATACCGTTTGCAGGAAAAGTAGAAATTTGCTGTTTTGATAAGACTGGTACTCTCACAAGTGATAATTTAGTAGTGGAAGGTGTTGCTGGCATTGGTGAACATACAGATGCAACGGTTATTCCATTGTCTGAAGCACCTATAGAGACCATACAAGTACTAGCATCTTGTCATTCTCTTGTCCAACTTGATGATGGTATCGTAGGAGATCCCTTAGAAAAAGCAACTCTGAAAGCTGCCGAATGGAACCTAACAAAAGGTGATGCTGTAGTACCTAAAAAAGGAAAATCACCTGGTTTCAAAATTGTACATAGAAATCATTTTTCAAGTGCACTTAAAAGAATGTCTGTAATAGCCGGTTATCAAATAAATGAGCGGGGCTTTATGGAAACTCATTATATAAGTAGTGTCAAAGGTGCACCAGAGACAATAAAAACTATGCTCAAAGAAGTTCCCAGTCATTATGATCATGTTTATTTAACATTGTCTAGAAGAGGAGCAAGAGTTCTTGCATTAGGCTACAGAACTTTAGGCAAACTAAGCTCTCAAGAGATTAGAGATTTGTCTAGAGAGGACATTGAGTGTGACCTCACATTTGTTGGTTTCGTTATAATTTCATGTCCTTTAAAAAGTGATTCAAAAAAAGCTATATCTGAAATAGTACATGCTTCACATTCCGTTGTTATGATTACTGGTGACAATCCATTAACGGCTTGTCATGTTGCAAAAGAACTTAAATTCACGCAAAGGAATGAAGTACTTATATTGACTGAAAGCAACAATGAATGGATTTGGAAGTCCATTGATGAAAAAGTTGTTCTGCCAGTGGAAGTTAAAGAATCAAAAGAATTGACCACTAAATTTGATCTTTGTATTACTGGAGAGGGCCTTACATTCCTCAATGATCAATACCATAAACTTATGATAGAATTAATGCCACATATTAAAGTGTTTGCAAGATTTGCTCCAAAACAGAAAGAATTTGTAGTAATTACTTTAAAAGCTCTTGGTTATGTAACCCTAATGTGTGGAGATGGTACAAATGATGTTGGGGCTTTAAAACACGCTGATGTAAGTATATTAAGTTTTACTTTAACTCCACTTCATTAAAAACAAATATATTACATGCATCTTTAAAGACATTTACTGATTTGTATATATTATATACTAGGTCTTACCTGTACCATTGCCGTTCTGCAGTATTGGCCATTTCAAATCAAAATAATTTTTGGCTAAAAATTCTAATTTCAACTTAATTTTATTTTAAAAACATAGAATTCTTTTATCAATATAAGTAATTTGTTTATTGATAACGATTAACGCTATGTTTTCATAGCATTTTAATCTTTTTTGTCATCATAGAGACGTTAAAAATTCGAGTAATTATAGAATACGACTACTGTCATGGCAGCAACACGACACAAGCGGCACGCAATATCAACGACGTTTACCAAGCGCTACAGACGAACGCACCAGCAGTTATTGCTTTGCCCTCTTCCGTTCTTTAAAATTTCGACCTGAAAAATGAACCTAGTGGTCGATCGAAAACTTTCATCGGCAATGACGAATTATAGGCGATTGTGGAAACTGATGATATTTAATCTTCAAAAAAATATTGGTCAAATTGGCAAGGTAAAAATGCTTGACAAATGGGTGCCCCACGAACTCAATAATCGCCAGCGCGAACTACGCATCGAGACATGCCTTGCACTGCTCAACAGGCTCACAAACGAAAGAATTTTTAACTGTATTGTTACGTGCGACGAAAAATGAATTCTGTTTGACAATCGCAAGTGCTCAGCAAGTTGGTAGGATCCTCGTTTAGAACCTAAACAATGCCCTAAACGAAAATTTACTTACAAAATTGATGGTCACTGTTTGTTGTCTAACGCCGGTGATTTGATTGATTATCACAGCTTCTTACCTAACGGGATGAGCATTACTGCAGATGTGTACTGTGAAGAAGTGAACACAACGATGGAGAAGCTCGCACGTTTTAACGAGCTTGGTCAATCGCTGGAAGCTCTCAGTCGTACCTACTCACCAGAATTTGCGCCTACAGATTTCTATTTTTCTGGATTTCGGATAACTTTTTGACGGGGAAAAAATTCGATACCCGAGAGGCAGTACAAAATGCCTTTGAAGAATTTGTTGTCTCCAGTCCAGCTGATTTCTTCAAGAAAGTCATCAATAAACTGCTACACACACGGCAAAGATGCATCTATTGCATGGGTGATTACACTGATTATTAGATATAAAAGATATGGGAAAAAATTACGTTAACTTATAAAAAACGGCAATTTCATTAGTAAAGACCTAATGTATATATATTATATACAAACATTTCTAAAGCAATATAATACACTATAATCAGAAAATATTTTCCTTATATACCTTAAAATTTACTTCACCTCAAAGTAAGTTTTAAGGTGCAAGTGTTCAAAGCTTTCACTTTGTCCGATCCCAGTCATTGTCAATGGCTTTGTTAATTGCAACTTTAAGTGCTGAATTACCAGGCGCTCGGCGCAGAAGTTTACTTGCATTTATAGGAAATAAAAATATTTTGAGGAAATCTGAAGTTAACCTTCAAAAGTTTTGAGCATTGCGGTAGAATCTCGCCTGTTTTTCAAAACCTTAAATCGAATAAGCGGATACCAGTAATAGAATTTATGTAGGCTGTAACTGACTACTATCAAGGTGATATAATATAAGCAAGTACTAGTAGTCTAGTAGTAAGTCGTGTTATCCCATATGGTTAACGCTTGCTCTAAATATCACAGTACACGAGTAACCTGGGTTCGATTCCCGCCGGCACCAATGACATTGTTAATTGCAACTTTAAGTGCTGATTTACCACGTGCTCGGCGGGTAAGGAGAACATCGTGAGGAAACCTGCATGTCTGAGGAATAAGAACAAAAATATTTCGAAGACATGTAAAGTTCGCCAACACGCATTGGGGCGGCGCGGCGGACACTTCCTTGTCCTAAAACCCTTTCAGAAATGAGGGGTGGCCCGTGCCCAGCAGTGGGACGTATATTGGCTGTAACTTTACTTTACTTTTTTACTAGTAGTATGTGTGCAAGCTACTAAAAATGTTAAAGTATTTTATAGTTTAGAAAAAAGTAAATAATAAACTTCAACTATATTTATGTCTTTAATTCATCTATTCATGATGAGCTGCTCCGTAACAAAATGCATAATGGTGTTAGGCAAATAATATACTTTTAATTTTATGAAATAATATATTATGTGTTTAAATATTACAGGTGGGAGTGGCAATTTTAGCAAACGCTCCTGAGCGCCCACGTGAAAAGCTTCGTGAAGAGCGTGTATCGGAACCGGAACCCCAAAGAAGACATCCTGGCGCTCGCATAGATCCTCGTGCTGAGGCTAGGGCCGAAGCGGCAGCAAGATTAAGGAGAGCTATGAAGAAGTTGGAAGAGGAAGACCAACCACAGCTCGTCAGGTTGGGAGATGCTAGCGTGGCCGCACCATTTACGAGTCGCCTATCTAGTATTCTTTGCAGTGAGTTCTTTTGCATTGAGAGTTTGGTCAAACCTTGGATTATTTGTGCATATTTATTGGCATTTTCAAATAAGCTTTTTGAAAAGTGTAGTGCGAGTACTTCTCTGTCGATAGTGTGCCGGACGGGCGAAACTCTCCGGAGTAAATGTTGTCGAAGATACTTCGCGAGTCGCTCACGTCCTACACCTATAGGTTCCGGTGGGTACTCTCACCGCCGTCTTTGTTGGTACCGCTGAAATATTGTGGACTGTAGTTAAAATCAAAATGCACGATTAACAAATACAAATAGCAAGGTAGTGGCCAGCGGTTCAACTTATTGATTAATCGCGAAATTTTATAACTATTATTTATTGATCACTGTTGTTAAACTACGGTTGTTCACTATTGGTTGGTCACTGTATATTTCAAAAGATTTCTTTAAATTGTACGGTGGTATCAAATATCTATTGGTAGTAGCTGGTTTTCTAACACTACTGACTAGCAGCTATTATCAACTAAACTAGCTGATTTTATCACTTGTGTAACTGCGGATATCAGTTACCACTTTCACTATATGTAACTGCGAATATCAGTTACGACCTTTTTAGGCTAGGTAACACTTTCACATATGTAACTGCGAATGTCAGTTACGACCTTTTTAGGCTAGGTAACACTTTCACTATGTGTAACTGCGAATGTCAGTTACGACCTTTTTCGGCTAGCTAACACTTTCACTATGTGCAACTGCGAATGTCAGTTACGACCCTTTTTAGGCTAGCTAACACTTTCACTATGTAACTGCGAATGTCAGTTACGACCTTTTTAGGCTAGCTAACACTTTCACTATTCACTATATACTGCTACTAGTCACTTCAGCTACCACCGGATACCACTCACTTCACTTCACTAGTCACTGGTAGTTCTTCACACTACTACGGATACTGGGCCCCGAGCCCCTAAGGTAGACTTGAGCAATACTTTACAGTGAGCCGCTTGCCATTTTCCGTTTTGCCTCTTTATTGCATAAACTTTTCACTAAACAAATGGCATACATTGCAATATTCTCTATACAATACTAATTGCTACACTAACATGCTATACATCATTAAATCGGTAGTCTGGTACTTTATTAGTATATCATAAAGGTTAATAAAAACATTAACATTGTAAAAAGTTATTAAACGAAATGTCCCAAATTTTCATAATATTTGGGCATTTTAATTCTTTAATTTTTCTATAAATACGAAATGCGTTTAATTATACAAAAATATTCCTATACTTCTTTCATCTATAAGCCATATGCTAATTCAATGTCATATTTATAACTCTTTTAGGACATAAAATTATTTTCATTATTTTTAGTATGATCTATTACGCAGTTAATTAAAAACTTCTAGAGAGTTCCACGATAAGACGCGCTGTGATTGGTCGATTTTTTGGTATATAATAAAAGTTGTTTATATTACTTGTTATCAAAACGACATTCTATACAAACATATTGAGAGTTATAAATATGCTAAATAACTATATTAATACACATTTTTAGTCAGTTTTCTCGGTAATTTCACTTTTAATACATAAAACAATATTCTTTATCACTTCGTTTCTTAAGGTTGTTAGGCCGTCGCGAACATCTCTCCCGCCGTGCAGCGTCGCGACGATTTTCTCACAGCGGCGCTGCATCCATTTCGGTGAGCGACGTTGCTTCTACTTCGGCAGCGGCACGAGTTTCCTGGTTGGCCTCTTGATTAGGCCGTTTGCTGTGCGTACCTCCACAGTGCGGATCTGTCCGTTCGCACCGGGGTAAACAGCTTCCACCCTCCCTCGTGGCCAGGTGTTACGAGGTAACTGGCCGTCAGCTATGAGGACTGGATCGCCCACCTGGAGATTGGGACCTCGCCCATGGGCCTCCCGCCGGTTTTGAAGTTCCGGTAAATACTCTCGGACCCAACGCTGCCAGAACATGTCAGCGAGTATCTGGGAGCGTCGCCAGTGTCTTTTGCTATTCATATCTTTTTCATCAAATACTCCAGGTGTCGGCAGTCTCGCAGATCCTCCTAAAAGGAAGTGATTTGGAGTGATGGATTCGTCGTCGTCGCTGTCTACAGAGATGTGAGTCAATGGTCTGCTATTTACTGTGTACTCCACCTCGCAGAGCAGCGTGGCTAATACTTCCTCATGCGGATGTCTCTCATGAAGGACGGTGTATAGTGCCGTCTTCACGCACCGTATGAGACGTTCTCTCTTGGTTGGTGTTTTATGCAGCAAATTTATTGGAAGTCGAGCGAGCTTTAGGTTGAAGCTCAGCTGATCGGTACCCGGTTTCCAGATTAATCCGAGTATCTTTTCCTCGGTTCCTTTGTTTCCCAGATCGACTGACTCAGATGCTTCATGGTCAGGTTCTAATTCTTTTACAACTTCTGGTGCGTTGGAAACCCATTTTCTTAAGGTGAAGTGCGCGTTTTTGTGTATGTCGCGTACTTCCTTCGATATTCGCATTGCCTCTTCCAGAGACTGGAAACTGTCGAGATAGTCATCCATATAGTGGTTTTGAATGATAGCTTCTACAGCTTCTGGATACTTGTCTTTGTGTTTTTTATCGTTCCAGTTTTTCGCGAATATGGCTGTGCAGGGTGAACTGGCTGCACCGAAAATGATCGACGTCATTCTATATTCCTGTGGAGCTTCATTACGTCGATCCCCTCTCCAGAGATATCTTAAGGCATCTCTGTCTTCGGGTCTGACTTTAACCTGCATGAACATTTCGGCTATGTCCGCGGAGACAGCGATTTTATGGCGGCGAAAACGCATCATGACCCCTGGTAGTGATTGCAGTAGGTCTGGACCCGTGAGCAGGAAGTCGTTCAATGACACCCCCTTTGTTTTGGCTGCAGCATCGTGTACTATTCGAAACTTCTCTGGCTTCATTGGGTTATGGACGTCGAAATGGGGTAGGTACCATGTTCTTCCCGGTGTGCTAGTTTTCGGTGCTATCTCGGCGTATCCTTTTTGTACTAAGGAATTCATTTGTTCATCATACTTTCTTTTTAGATCTTCGTCTCGATCTAATTTTCTTTCAATGGAAACGAGCCGTTTTATTGCTGTTTCATAATTACCAGGCATCTCGATATCCTTTTTCTTCCAGAGAAGCGCTGTTTCTATGTGCCCGTCTTGTAACTGACGGGTGCTGCTATTTAGTATATCTTCAGCTTTCTTCTCTGGGTCGGAGTCTGGTCTTCTCGGATTGATAATGAGAGATTCCAGCGCGAAATATTCGCGGAGTTGGTCATCTATAGTAACCTCGCTCTTGTGCAGCTCATTGGCCGCGTGGACGCGCTGATACGGGGCTTTAGTGTGTGCCCCGTGTAGCACCCATCCTAATTCTGTGAGCGAGGCAATTGGCTGGTGCGGCGGACCTCTTCGGATTTGAGTGGCTATCAGAAGTCTCCAATTGTCCTGTCCTATTAGGATCCTTGGGTTGCCGGAGTCATATGTTAGCTGCTCCTTTAGGTCTTTCAAGTGCTTGCACTTGGCTATGTCTACTGCACGCACAGTCTGTGGCCCCAAGTTTAGGCTTTCAACCGTGCGTGCTCTGAATGGCACCCTTTTGCTGTGGAGACTCTTCAGCGATACTTTGATTCTTCGAGATTCCGGTGAATCGAGGGTAGTGTTCCCGATAGCGGTGATCTTAAACGGGTCCAACCGCCCTGTAGCTCCAATTTGTTTGGCTATCTCTTCATCCATTAATGAAACTGTTGACCCATCATCCAGCAGGGCGTGTGTGTTTACAGCTCCCGCCGGTCCAATTACTCGCACTGGAATTATTTTTAAATAGGCTTGATGCTTTGACACAGTGAATGAGTTAGCAACAGTTTCTTGAGGTTCTTTTTGTTTGACCTCAGTCTTCTCCTTTGTATTGTTATGGAGAAGTCGATTGTGTGTCGCGGTGCATCCTTTTATTCCACACTTATTGGTTTTGCATTTGTGTGTCTGATTTCGATAACGTAAACAGCGGAAACATAAATTATTTTGCTTTGCGAGTTCCCATCTTTTGTTGGTATCTGCTTCCTTAAATTTTTTACATTCAGATCCGTAGTGACCCTCCTTTTCGCACACTCTGCATTTCGGAGACGGCTTAGTAGTAGCCGCGTGTGCTCTATGTACTGAACGATTGCTTTGTGCTTCGTTTATAATTTCTGGAGGCGCAAATGCACTGCAGAAGCGAGCTTGCTCGGTAATAAACTCGCTGAAGCAGCCGAGGTCTGGTCTAGAGTCATATTTTTCAGTGTATATTCTATACCACTGGGCACGTATAGAGTTTGGCAGTTTGTCGGTGAGGTGTCGTAGCAGCTCTGCGTTGACGAGGTAATGATCTCGCTTTAGGGCTCTAAGAGTGACGACGCTTCCCCTCACTTTGCTCGCGAATGTGCAGATGTCTCTAGGTGATTCTGTACAGCGTGCTAATCCTCGTAACTTCTCGGTTTCTGCTTGCGCGATTGAATCTGGACGCCCAAATTGTAGCTCCAGTTCTCGCATAATCTCATCTGGCTTAGCATGCCCGATGAGTTCTGAACTGACTGTTTCCAAGGCTCTTCCTTGTAGACTTCGTCTTAGTCTAGCAGTGTTTTCAATGTCATTGAAGTAGCCTCGGGTTGTTTCGTAAATGGCACGGAATGAAAGCCACTCGGTATGTGCTCCGCTAAAGCTTGGCAGTGTCATTATAGCTTTCGACGCTGCGAAAGTATGCGACGATAGTGGCGCACTCTCTAACTTTGGTTTGTCAGCGAGCGCGGCTATAGCGGATGTGAGCTCCGATATAAATGGACGGAGCCCCCTGTCTTCACTTATGACAGGTTCCTGGCTAGGTTTCTTTGGATTGGGATCCTTTTGTACATCTTCTGGATAGGAATCCTGGTTTGCGAGCTCTGATACAATCGGTAGGAGCCCCCTGTCTTCATCAACGGTGGGTTCCTGGCTGAGCTTCTGTGGCATGGGATGCTTTTGCGCATCTTCTGGATAGG